ACGAATGATATAGGGTCCGAGAGATAGCTCAAAAAATCAAAACCTAAAATGTTATTCTATTTTGAAAACGTTTCATATGATTATTTGTAACCCGGTAGTTACGCGCTATCATTCGCTAACAATATAAAAAGCTTCTGTCTGTTTGCTATTTTAAATTGCAATCAATAATCAGCTAACTCATTACTCATAGTTCAATAGAATCTTTCCTATTACTGATTCTGTTTTTATTCAGTGTTTCTTTGAAAATTTAATCGTTATCACCCCAGCAACATCATTACATAATATTTCAACCGCTAACTCATTTTAAACTCACTTAATTTTTCTGGTTTTCATATTTCTAATTGAATTGGATATCGTGAAGTTTATTCATGATTTGGTCCAAGTATTTGGCTTTGAAGTTGAGTTTTATTTTTTTTACAAATTTGAATGAACCTGCCGATTATTGTGTAGATGAAGAAGGGCTTAACCCTTTTTACAGGCTAACATGTAGCATCTTTGATGTTCATGCCAGTCCAGTTACTATCGACATGTTTATAAATCTCACAGTTAAACGAAAATCCCTTTCTATTAATATTTTTGTATCTCCACTATATAAAGAAAAAAGAAAAAATAAGTTCAGATTGAATTCAAATCTTGTTAATGAGAGTGTAATATTAAGAATCATTAAATTGGCTACTGCAAAAATTTTTGAAGGTTCATGAGTGAAAAAAACTTTTTTAGCGCTTAAGCGATGCGGACTGAGATGAATGCAATTTGCACTGTTGATATTAATGTGCCCATCAGGTTTGTTTCAATTCATAGCTTAACTTCAGCAGAAACCTTGTATTTCTAGAATATTAAAGGCTTTTGAATTGAACTAAGTGAGCCACATGATTTGTCATTATTGTTGAACAACCAGGTTGATAGCTATCGAAATATTTCGCAGTTCCTCTTCTAAGTTCGACAATTTCATCAATTTTAACCATCAAACGATAAAGAGTGTCTGACGCTTCACAGTCGGAACCAAAGTAAGCGGTCAGATACCGTTTAAGCAGATAAATGTAAGTGTATCGCTCTCGCCTGTAAATAAGAAGTAAAATTTCAGTTATTTTTGTAACACAATTATTCAGCTAAATGGAAACAAATTGTCAGTTGATTCGAGTACATAAAAATCTATCTGACATTTCAGAGTTACAATAGACAAGATAATGACAGTGCCTTGAAATAGCTTATTCATTCTATTCGAATAGCAGCTTATTTCCAACGTTTTCAACTGTAATTCCAAACTGTGCACTGAACAGTTTTAGGTACTCAACTTTATTCACATCATTATGGTTCCTTACATTAACTTACCTTACTGTGCTCCGAAACTTCAATTTAACCAAATCAGGATTAAAAAGGCCAATTGTATAAAGTAAGGCGATAGCGTTGAGATCATTTCGAAGCAAATTAGGAAAGGTTTCAATGATATGATCCAATCTTCTGGTTTGCGCTGGATTTATTTCGTAAAACCATTTTCTTGACCAAACTTTCCCTCCATACTTTTGCGAGCAACCCAATGAGATGATCAAGCATTTTAAATAAAATAATGTCATTAGATTGGTTTGTAAAAGTGAAATAGCAGACAAAAGACAATATCAATGAGTCAACTGAATGGGATTTGATTCACATGCAATCTTATTAGCGAATCATATCATTGATTTAGTCTATTATACGATAAAATAAACTTCAACTTACAACCCAACCATCGACTTCTGGATCAAAGACGATTACTCCTTTTAATGCATTGAAGTCAAGAAACGCACTTTTAAGAAGTGTCACTTTGTCATCAGTGGGTAGTTTCCTAAAAGCGCGTATCTTTTCACAAGTAGAAACAAGCTCAGGCGGAGTTGGGTCAGAGAAAAAATGACTTTCTATGAAACCAATATCATTATGAGGATTGACGAAGGCTGTTGTCTTGAAAGCTTGAGCTACTTCTTGAACTGCTACAGACTCAAATGCATCCAACATTGTCTGGTTTGAGATGAATTCTGATTTTAAACTCAATGGTGAATAATATACAGATAAAATTTGCTTAGCAACATGAGATATCCATGGTTCTTTCACTTTTGAAATGTCATTAGCCAGTGTTAGTTTACTCTTGAACTTGGGACAGGCTATCTTTACATGACGATAGTCTGGATTAATATTTGACAAATGTTTCAATTGTGTTGATGATGAATAACGAGATGAGTTTCGTGGCGAGTTAAAATGTATATTACAAGGTGAGTTACAGCTTGGATTACATGTGTTAAAACAAGAACTGCTAGGTGAACTTTGAATGGTTGAAGATGAATCTTCGGTTGGTAGTGGACCAATTTCATGGGTGTCATGGTTTGAAGCAAAATAAGCATCGATAGCTTGAGAAAACTCCTTGATCTGGCCAACATCCAATACTTTACCACTTTCTTCGTTTAAATAATTTTCAACATAATTTGGATCAAGGTGGGGTAATGACTGTAATGACATTAAAGGTGATGGTATTGATAGCACTGACGGTTCGTCGATTCCATTATATGAGGTAGTATTTGTATGTCGTTCCAGATTCGATAAACACCCATCAATATCCATAGTTGATCATAAAATCACTCAATTCACAGAGATTCACTTATGAGTTGAAAATAAACGTTGAAGATTGAAATGTTTTTCATCATTTCCAATGATTATGTTTATCGGCCTCGCTTTATCAACTTGCAACCAATAAGGACATCAAATTATGCACATGTTTCAATTGTGGACTAACGTATTGTTGATGCTACCTATTGCTTAAAAATGAGAAAAAATACTAAAAATGATTACCGTATTTCCGAACATATAAGCATTGTGCTTATCAACAGAAATTCCTCACTGCGAAGTCCATGTTTATCTTCATAAATAAGAACACTGATAAGCAATTACATAGAAGTACATTGAAAAAACCTGTTTTTTAACGAGTGTGGAAGCACATAGTGCTAATCTAAAGTGAGGAAAAATGCGCTTTTAAGTGAAGGTTTCATTAATAAGCCTCGGCTTATATGCGCGGAAATACGGTAGGTATCAAAAATAATGAAGAAGTAGGTTGTTATGGAAAAAAGATAACAGTGGATAAGCTTCATACAGAGTTAGATGTCTCATTTTATTAGGTTTTGGGTTACCTTACTTTTGTTTGCTTCAGTTTGATTGACTTCACTGTTGCTATTGTAAGGTCCCTATTTCATCAATCGGTTATCTATTTATTTTCCTGTCATCATATTCATCAATTGTTTCTGTTGGTGCATTACTCGTCAGCTGGATGATTAGATATATTATTATTTCAACTGAAAAAGTAAAGAAAGATTACTTTACTCTCTGATTTTAACCAAGTGGTAAAAGCTGAGTCCATAAAGACTTTGGCTCAACACCGATACACATGAAAGGAGGAAGTTAGATCACCACAGAAAATTGCCCTAACTAGAATCAATCATCGATATGTTCAGAAGAAAGAATAATTTAAAATAAATACTGAAACTAGAATCAAGGGTGGCCAAAATTCATGCATGTGTAGCTGTCAAACTTAATTTGCTGGCGATTTTCTGAGAGACGATCTTGAAAAACTATGTGCAAAATTAAAATGGACCAAACCTAATGAGCCGTTCGGTCACAATGACGTTCGAAAGATATGTAAATGGTATGTAAATTTTCAGGCTATATCTCGTTGAATGATTGTAATTATAAGCTTTAAGTTGGAACAGCTTACTATCTTATGAATTATCATGTGTATACAAAAAATCTCTCTAGATCATGCCGTTTTTGAGTTTTAGCGAAAGGCAAATTTTTCGTTTTTTCGAAATCAAATCTACAGATCAAAACCGAGAATCTTTTGCAATGGCTAGAAATACTTGTTACTGTTAGGTACATGTCTCGACAGCTTCATTTTACTCTCGACATCGCAGTTTAGTAGATATAAGAGTCAGTCGGAAGGCGATCTTCAATGTACGGAATGAAATATCCCTGCAGCCTGACATCCGACCAACACAAACAAATGTTAAAGTGTGACTGTAAATGCAGTCTAACTGTTGCGATCCAATGCTGGAAAATCGTCTAAAACTTTACCGAAAATACTAAAGCACATCTTGACAATAAATCTTGAGGCAAAGGCCTTCACTTTCAAAACTTTACCGAGCACACCTCAGATCTAAAAAATATACGCGCTTGAAATAACAGTGGGGATTGACTTCAAAAAGTTTTGCTTTTTCACGTCGTCGACGAGTCAATGTGAAAGCTCGGATTCATTCATTCTTTAACACAGATCAATAACTGATTGAGATTCTACTACCAGGTAATACTTTAAGACTTTAATATTTTAATGTTTATGCATTAAACCAGTGAGGTTTGTTGGGTAATTAAGAAAACTGAAATTAACAGAAAGTGTTAAAATGGGTTAAATATTAACTCTTTGGTGTATTATACCGGTAATTGGATTCGAAAAACGTTTAAATGATGATGTATTTGATTGAGACATGATTCTGTAACCACTAAATTGTTGATGCTTTAAAAATTTTATCGTTATCATCATAAAAAACATTATCACATTACAATGTTTATTAACCGGTAACTCAATTTTTCTGGTTTTTTGCGCTTCTAATTGAATGATGAGGTCAAAGAGGGCAATCAGGATTCAATGCTTGTTAAAATTGTTAACCAAGTAAATGTCTTCATGGTCATCAAAAGAAAACAAATCGATTATAAACTCATGCAAGCTAAAATTTGTTCAAAAGATTAAATTTCGTTAGGTCGTATTTCCATCAATGAAATCTCATTTTATTTTAAAAGAGTCTCAATGTTATTAAATCATCGTATAGAGTCAAGAAATATAGCGAGTGAATCGAAAGGTTTGATTTCCTTTCATTTTTGGCCAATTCTTATGCTAATCAGGTTGTCCATTCAAATTATGCCATTGAAATCCAAAACTTTCATTGTTTTACCCCAATTGTGCAAATAACATAAGTTAATTTACCTTTTTTGAATCATTCAGTCTAGCATCTTAATCTATTAAGCATGTTGTTAAACATGTGAGGATGAACATTGAAAGTAACAACAGAAAACAAAATGGATTACATTTTAATTCTTTGATGGATATACCGGTAATTGGAGTCAAAAAACGTTTAAAAAATGATTATTTGATTCGATTGAGACACAGTTACTATTGCAATTACTGTTACTATTAAGTTGTTTCTTTTGAAATTTAACCGTTATCACCATCAGCAACAGCATCAAATTACAATGTTTCAACCGGTAACTCAATTTAAGTTGCATTTTCAAATTGAATCGAGTATCGTTTATTCAAAATTTGGTTCGAGTATTTGATTTGGAAGATGAGCTCTTGATTTCCATACATTGAATCAAAGATTGAGGTATAAGATACTGTATTCATTGAAAGGCAAGATTTAGTAAAGGCAAATCACCACTGGAGGGTGACAATCAGTAAAATTAATACTTGCAGCACAAAAAATTAAAAAATGAAAGAAAAAGTTGAGATTAATGTTTTTCAATGTAAAATACTCCGATCAGAGTCATGCAGTTGGGATGAGCTTGTACTAAACTTTGCATCTCAATAAATTCAGTATCTTGTACCTTAATCTTTGAATTGAACTAAGTGAGCCACATGATTTGTCATTATTGTTGAACAACCAGGTTGATAGTGATCGAAATTTATCACAGTTCCTCTTCTAAGCTCTACGATTTCATCAATTTTAACCATTAAATGATAAAGATTGTCTGACGCTTCACAGTCGGAACCAAAGTAAGCGGTCAGATACCGTTTAAGCAGATAAATGTAAGTGTATCGCTCTCGCCTGTAAATATTAAGAAGTAAAATTTCATTTTTTTGTAACACAATTATTCAACTAAATGGAACCAAATTGTCAGTTGCTTCGAGTACATAAAGTTTCTGGGTTTAACCAAGAAATCAAAAATACATCATGAGATCAGTTTATATTTTTTTATTCTAAGGTACTAGACAATGACAGCACCTTGAAATAGCTTATTAACTCTATTCGCCGAACAGAGCAGTTTCCAAAATTTCCAATCTTCCTTAATTTAAACTGAACATTTAACTTCCTCTTAATTAGGGAACATCGAACAAATTGCTTATGATTATCTGGTATCTCATATTTTAACAATGTCAACACTTAAATTATTAACTCAACAATTTTAGGCACTCGACTTTATTCACTTAATTATGGTTCCTTGCATTAACTTACCTTACTGTGTTTCGAAACTTTAATTTAACCAAATCAGGATTGAAAAGGACAATTGTATAAAGTAAAGCGACAGCGTTGAGATCACTTCGAAGCAAATTAGGAAAGGTTTCAATGATATGATCCATTTTTCTGATAACCGCTGAATTTATTTCGTAAAAGTATTTTCTTGACCAAACTTTCCCTCCATACTTTTGTGATGAAACCAATTATAATAGATGATAAGGTATTTTATATAAAACAATGTCATTAGATTGAGTTGGAAAAGGGAAATACAAATATAGCAAACAAAAGACAATATCAATGAGTGGATGAGTGGATATCACACCATTCGATATCATTGATTTAGTCTATTCTACGATAAAATAAACTTCAACTTACAACCCAACCATCGACTTCTGGATCATAGACAATTATTGCTTTTAATGCATTGAAGTCAAGAAACGCACTTTTAAGAAGTGTCACTTTGTCATCAGTGGGTAGTTTCCTAAAAGCGCGTATCTTTTCACAAGTAGAAACAAGCTCAGGCGGAGTTGGGTCAGAGAAAAAATGACTTTCTATGAAACCAATATCATTATGAGGATTGACGAAGGCTGTTGTCTTGAAAGCTTGAGCTACTTCTTGAACTGCTACAGACTCAAATGCATCCAACATTGTCTGGTTTGAGATGAATTCTGATTTTAAACTCAATGGTGAATAATATACAGATAAAATTTGCTTAGCAACATGAGATATCCATGGTTCTTTCACTTTTGAAATGTCATCAGCCAGTGTGAGTTTACTCTTGAATTTGGGACAAGCTATTCTTACATGACGATAGTCTGGATTAATATTTGACAAATGTTTCAGTTGTGCTGATGATGAAGGTGATGAGTTGGGCGACAAGTGGAAACGTGCATTGATGCAAGGTGATTTACAGTATGAATTAAAACATTTGTTAAAACAAAAACTACTAGGTGAACTTTGAGAGGTTGAAGGTGAAGCTTCGATTGACAGTGGACCAGTTACATCTGTATCATGGGTTGAAGCAAAATAAGCATCAATGGCTTGGGAAAACTCCTTGATCTGACACACATCCAATGCTTTACCACCTTCTTCGTTTAAATAATTTTCAACATAATTTGGATCAAGGTGGGGTAATGACTGTAATGACATTAAAGGTGATACAATGACGGCTCGTCCATTCCAGTATAAAAGGTAACATCTTGTATTTTGTCCAGATTCGATAAA